GCTTCTACCATTAAATATCAAGCAGCTGAAAAGACGAGCATGGTCCACATCGAGCACCATTCCTAGCCTAGATGCAGACATGCAGCAAAAGGATATTTCACATTTTCCTCAACTGTTTATTTGGCAAAGCAAGGGTAATGTAACTAAACCCATCTGTTTCCTCTTATCCAGGGATTTTCAATGGTGATTAAAAAACCAAACAAAACAACTTTATGCTGACCTTCTAATGACTTCTGACTTCTCTCACCTGTTCTTTGTCAGAAACGTGTTTAAAATTTTAATACATATGAATAAATTACTAGGACGCAACCTGGAATAAGTATAGAGTTCTTATATAAAAGTCAACAGCTTTGAAACAAAAAGATTATCTATTCTCATGATGTGAATAGCTGAGTTGTTTAAAACACAGCACTTTTATTATGCGATTTTAAAGAACTCGATGTTAACCAGGAAATGTATAATAATAGGAATTAGGGCTAAATGGGACCCATTAAGTTATTGATTTCATTATCTACTTTTCAGAAAAGACCTCAAATACTGTGCCACAATTTTAAAGTTTAAAAATTGGATAAAGATTTAATTTACATTTACCTATTCACATAACCATTGTGGGCCATTTTTGTAAATGACATTGCTTCTTCAAGGTTAGCTGGTGTTATCTACCCTGATATTCAAAACCTTCCTATCTCAAGTCTCCCTTTCCATGTTATAATTATAAAGATCATTTTGCTTCCTTCTGCAAGCTGAAGCAGTAAGTCTGCCTTGCCTGCGCTGCATAGAACCACTTCGTGGTGCCTGTATGCTGCCATGCATTTATAAATTTATCTTGTTATTAACTCATAATTCTCACTGGACTAAAACTGTAGGCTTGTCATTATTAAACATCATCATCTTCTAGCAGATCTAGGCCAAAGACTATAAAACTATTTTGCTTCAGTTTAAATTAATACATTTTAGAACAACCATTTAACTAAGTTTTTCGTAAAGTGCCCTCTTTCCAAAAGGGTTAGTAAAAAGACAGTCGACATCATTCATCTTCGGGAAATGCAAATAAAAACGATATACCACTTCACACCCACCAATATGGCCGGGATCCAAAAGGAAGACGATCCCAAGTGCTGGTGAGGACAGGGAGAGATTGGAACCCTCTCCCACTGCCAGCGGGAATGAAATATGGTAGTCATTTGGGAAAAAAATTTGACAGTCCCTCAAAAAATTTAAACATAGTTATCATATGACCCTGCCATTCGACATATACACTTCTAGGTATATGTTGAAAAGAAATAAAAATATATGTCCACATAAAAACTTGCACAGAAATGTTAAAGTGTATTATCATAATAGCCAAAAAGTGGAAACAACTCACCTACCCACCGACAGATGAATGGATGAACAAAATGTGGTATTTTCAAACATTGGGATATTACATATCCATAAAAATGAAGTACTAATACATGCTAAACATGGGGGAAACTTGAAAACACTGTTAAGTCAAAACAGTCAATCATGAAAGACCATGCATTATGACCCATTTATATCAAATGTCCAGAATAAGTAAATCTACAGTCACAAAGATTAGTTGTTGCCTAGGGTAAGAGGTAGGATGGTAGGAGGAGAAGACTAGGAAATAACTACATGGGTATGGAATTGCTTTTTGGGTGATAAAAATAATCCAAAATTGATTATGATGATGGTTTCACAACTCTAGTAAATACGCTAAAAACCACTGGATTGCACGATGGGTGAATTAAAACTTATGTGAAATTCTATCTCACTAAAGCTGTTAAAACAGAGTTGGGCACTCTTTCCATGAATAAAAGACACTAATAAAAAAATTGGTTGACTTAGCAAAACAAGGGTAAGTGGCCTTTATTCTCCTTCCAGATACTGTTGTTTTTAGGTCATTTACAATTTTATCTGCTTGCCCCATGTGATACATAATCAGAACTCAGAGCCACAACAGGAAGTTCAAAACAGTGCTTTCAAACAAACTTAAAAAAACAGTTAACATTATCTAACATTGTGTTAAAGCACTGCTTTGATGCCATTTTAAGATCTTAAGTTCTTGCTTTCCATTTTGCAATACAAAAGGGCTTATACAGTAACAATTTGACTTTACAAAACTTTTTTCCTTGATAAAAACATGTGTCATATATAGGACAAAGAAAATAGTGTGCTTAGGTGTTTTTAAATCTCCATGATCTTGGGGCACATAGCAGCTAATCAATAAGTAATGTTGATTGATAGAATGTAAGTTCCTAAAGGGAGGATTCAAATGTTTAATGACTGGTTTTAGTGACAAATTAAGGTGAATGCTCAACCAAAAAGAGTTTATTCACAAAATTATTCCTATACTGTAATGGACTTTACAGAACAGATATTTCAATGTACCAAGACAATCTCCTGAGTATTTTTAATACATTTTTATTGTCAGTGGTTCTTCTGGAATAAGATTATGTTCATGTGAAGAAACACATAAAAGAATTTGGGAAGTCAAATTCTTAAAGTATAAATGACGCATTTTTTTTTAAATTGTTTATTCCAGGTTCATTCAAGCATTTACAATTTATTAGAACTGTCTCTGTACCAGACGGTGAAAAGAGTATTAGATCTTAAAGCGAATGTGCAGTGCCCTTGGGCAAGGGTCTCTAAGAAGTCTGGGTTTCAGTGCTTCAGAAAAACGGGGTCTAATTAGCTCTACACTGGTGAATCTGGAAGTTCTTTAAAATGTACTTTCTTACATTCAGGTTGTAATATTTATGTTTCAGTGTGTATTAAAACAAAGCTATAAAAATATCTTATTTAGAAAACCACGTGAATTCACCAAAATAGGAGAGAAAGAGAGAAAGAGAGAGAGAAAGAAAGACAGAGGGATGGAAAAAAACCCCCAAGACATAATTAGGTGTTATGAATCCAGCAGGGAGTAGGGTGAGGCAAAAAAGGTTTCATAGTCTATAACATATGATTTATAAATCATTTCTAGCTTACCCAAAATGCAACTGTGAAATCATTGGGGGAATGAGTTACTACAGAAAGAGATTATGTATACTTTTTGGGGAAAAGGGTAGATATTAAGGGAAAAATGAAACAAAATTGGCATATTAAAATGATTACCAAGCTAAAATCTTCCAATTTTTCAGACTGGAAGTAATTCTTGTGCCCAAACTGTTCTATTATTGTCTATAACCATTACACTTATGACTTTCCTTACTTCAAATAAATTCTTTACTGGAATTTTTCTAAGATCAATACCAAATGAACTGAATGAAAAGTAGTAAGTCCACCAGAAAAGCTACAAGTCACTATCAATACTCTTTCAAGACAAATCATTTTGGAAATTAGTACTTGAGGATAATTTTCTTCTTAGTTCGTTAGTTACTGATGGTTATTCAGGATCAAATAAGGAGATTCTGTATGTATTTGGTTCACAGGATTGTAACTCAGCAACTGAACAAAACATTAATTTAATTGTTCTGAAAACCAGAACATTAAATAAATATAGAGTAAGTGATAAATAATTTAGATCTAAAAGACACTGACATCAAGTGGAAAACATTATCCTGTTACGTCAAAGTCACGAGAACTTGAAATCGGCTTGTCGTCACTGCATCTGGTAGTTCAACGTTCAATGTCAGATAAGATGGTAAAAAGCGTCCTGAAAAGTTCCAAATACACACTCACATATAGAACATTTCCCCTATGTTGGCTTAATTCTACTTTTCCTTCTCCACACACATTTAGGATGCTCAAGAGCTATCATCTATTTATTTTGGATTACTTTAAGTAGATCCCTCCTTCCATTTCACTTCAAAATAAAAACTTTTACCTATCAAAATGTTGGGTATTGGAACTAAAAATTTCACATATAGCACTTAACAGAGCCTAGAAAACTTGGCTGTGATTGTGACTTACTTATAAAACCATTTGGGATGGTCCCTAAATGAGGCTTTGTATATTCTTCAGCAATAGCAGTCAAACAAATCATACTAAGCTGCCCTAAGTGGTGCTGTTTGTATACAAAGACGTTTTTGTATTGAACAATTAAAAGCTGTGGCTGCTTTTATTTAATTTATTTATTAGAAAGATTTTATTTATTTATTTTTAGAGAGCAGGGAAGGGAGGAAGAAAGAGGGGGAGAGAAACATCAATGTGTGGTTACCTCTCATATGCCCCCAACTGGGAACCTGGCCCTCAACCCAGGCACGTGCCTTGACTGGGAATTGAAACAGCGACCTTTTGGTTCGCAGGCCGGTGCTCAATCCATTGAACCATTCCAGCCAGGGCAGGCTGTGGTTGCTCTTAACTAACATGCCTGGATTATCAAAGTAAGACATTCAAAATCATTAAAAACCTTTTTACCAATAAAGAATGATAATTCAAGGAAAAAAAACTATCAAATAATAAATAAAAATGACCCCAAGTGATTTTACAAATATTGAATTTGTAGAATCTTTAAAGTTTTTTCTAATTGTGACTTAGTAACATAAAAAGCTTAAGGCACTACTCCCAAACAAATCAAAATATTTTAAAAATATAACTGAAGTTAACTGAGAGCATAGTCAAACGGGATTCATTACCACTGTGCCCCTGAAAGCTTCTCCTCCTATGAACGTGATCCCTACCATCCTTACCTCCATAACAAAGTAAAATCCAAGCTCATGAAAATAAAGTTCATGGAGAATACTATCTTTCCGGTGACTGGAATCATTACTGAAAATAATTTTCCATGAAAAAATTTACTACTAAGTTCCCGAATTAACGTCACCGCTAGAGGTAACATATGAATACGCATTTGCACACATGCATATATTCATTATGTTAGCCATTTTCATATTTAAACCCAATAAAAACATTTTTAACATGCATCGGCCTAAAATTTTCATTTTGATCCAGTTATTTAATCTGTGTTGGGGAGATTAAGATTCATAAATAAATTATATAATCTCACTTTAAAAAACATTGTAATCTAAAATTTTAGCTCTCTGATATCTTGAGTACACAGTTCAGATAAACATCATTTTTGCAAACTTTCCTCCATCCTTTCTCGGGTGATTATATAGGCTCTTTGATTCATCTTCTTCAAAATAAAATGTTGAATTACTTTTACTGAAATTTTATAAAATTGCATAAATGGCATAGTTACAAATCCTAAAAACCAAGACACTATATAGCAAGTTTAAGATTTTTATTTACATATACATAGCATATAAAACTTTTATCTCATAAAAATATGCCCTAAATTAAATAATTTTAATGATACATAATTACTTATATATAATGATTTCAATCTAATTAGCCATTATAATGAATCCCTGTGGTCCCTGAACCTGCCTTTAATTCCTTTGTTACGGCTGGATGCACAACATAACTGCCCCCACTGGGAGGGGCAAGAGTCATGGGTACCAGGGAGACCAGCCTCAGTTGTCACTGATGATGCTGAGAGGCGCTCAGCACCATGAACATGTTATTCAAATTTAAATAAGAAAATAAGCTCTATAAGTGACCTTCCTGAGGTTTTTCACACGGAATGCATTTCCTATCACTAAATATTTAACTATTGACAAGACATATCTAAGTTACTTAACTACTTCTGAGTCCTCAGAGGTAACATCAATATCCGGCTTCCGTTCGCCATTCTTTAAAACATTTCTCCATTGCGCTCCTTGATTTCAAGGTGCCAACATTCACGGTGGGTATGATTTTCTGGGGCTTCAGCCACTGAACAAAACGTTTCATTTCCAGGTAGCTACTGTGCTCACTATAAGGAATTCCTACAATACAAAAGAAAAGATTGCCTGCTAAAAATCAAGTAATAAAAAAATTCACAAGTGCAAAATAAAAGGAAAGCAATCCAGAGTATTTTTGTCAAAAACTCCTTGGTGCTTTATTTTTCATAATACATTTTATCTTTTACGAAAAATATAGATTAAATAATATTGAAATGATACAAAACTTTGAACATTAAAAAATTCATTACTTTTCTATGTAGACAATAATATGCAATTCTGTAGGTTCTTATTTATAATTAGGCTCTTCTTTTTAAATAATTCTTCCCTTTAAGCCCCTTGCCCAGCTATGAGTTTGAAGAAAATCCTAGAAGAAATATGAGTGAAATCTGAAGGACAACAAGCAGGAGACACTTGATTTCCAGAGCAATAAATCTGATTCCAGTCCCCAAGCTTTGCACACATAAAAAATAAGCAAAAAGAAAACAAATTAAATCCTCTAAAAAAACCCCTTCATTTTCTTTACTGAAGATCAAGTACCAGAGAAGGGAGAAAGGGTCTTTAGAGGCTGAGAGTGTCACTGGACTAGTGACATATCGAAATGTTTCCATCAGCCATTACTGCAATAAGCCCATTTCTGAGCACAATAGTAAACCTCCTCCAAGAGACGAAAAGAACTCCAGTCAAGCCCGTCACGCTGGCTGCTGCCCCATCGACCCGCTGTCCTGCTCTGGGCGTCACAGCGCCAGCCACACCCGCAGCACACGGCTGCGCCACCTCCTTTCAAGTCTCTCTAAAACTCCCTCTCCCTTTCACTCATCTCACAAACAACAGTATCTCTATTAGTCAACGTCTATTTACTCTGGTCATACTTCTGTATATCAGTTTATTATATACTAAAGATACAGGTTTAGGGTTCACAGAGCAATGTGAAACTCTTAAATTGTTAAAGATTCTTTCATGCTTGTTTTTCTTGCCTCTTTTATTTTACAGCCCTTCTAAAAAATGTAATTATAAACATTAGAAGTGAGCAAATTTAATAGTTATACCATATATCGAGATGTTTCCTTTGGTCTGGGGTACAACATCTGCTATACTCGTTAACTTATTAGAATGTGTCCATCCTGTAGGTCGAAAAGCCAAAATCTGATTGTATCTCCCATCATACCTCTTCAAATGACTATATAAACCCTGTTAAATAGAAATAGATCATCAATCTTATGGTTAAGGAAGACGGGTTATGTGGGATAAAACAATGATTAAAGCAGTTACATTGGCATAGTCACAGGAAGTTTTCACCTGGTAAACATCAGCTTGCAACAATCTAGTGTCTTACTTCAAAAAAGTATTTTCACTTATTTCATGTTAAGCATGCTTAAGAACAGTCAGAGAAAAAACTAAGGTGGGACAACTTTACATAAGTAATTATATATTTCAAAATTACATTTCAGTCCTGGCTAGCGTGGCTCAGTTGGTTGGGTATCATCCCACCAACCAAAAGGTCAGGGGTTCGGTTCCTGGTCAGGGCTCATGCCTAGGTTGTGGGTTCATTCACTGCTCAGGGCACGTACAAAAGGCAACCAATTGGTATTTCTCTACTTCTCTTTCTCCCTCCCTCCCATTCTCTCTAAAATCAATAAGCATGTCCTTGGGTGAGGATTTTTTTAAAAATTACAATTCAGATGGCTACCAAAATAAAACACATCTCTCCAAATCCTACTAATATTAGAATATTAAAATCAGAGATACTAGTATCTAATAGCATTCTTACTGGATACAAATATTAACCCTGATAAACATCAATTCAAACATATCCCCCTGCATGTACACCAACAGGCCTGACCGATGTATAGAAAGATGGAAATAATTTTATATACTCAATGCAGACATGCATTTTAAAGATGTACAGTGGTACTCTTCTCAGGTTTAAGTATGAACTAAAGTAATATTAAAACTTTTCATGCTACTACATTTGGAGGAACTATGCTTCCCTAACAAATCATGCATACAATATAAAATGTTCCAAACAAGTCATTGTAATGATGACATTTGATAAAATTCTTAGAAAACCAATAGCCAAAGTTCAATCTTTGAAAGATAAAAGAAATCCAGTTCAAGATAATAATGGCACAAGGGATATTTTAAAAAGTCTAATACTCTTGGTCTTCAGATGACACCCAGAGTTTCAAAGGCTTAGTATAAATTTATAGTAAAATTCTGGTTTTATTTAAAATTATAAAAAATCTAAACTGCACATAGCACCTTCTCGGATTTCCAAAAGTCTTTTTCTTCCTTAATCTTGCATACTCTGAACTACTGAAGTGTTCTAAAAGATCCCGGTACCCATTTAGCCACCTACCTTGTCATTCACCCAATCAGCACCTGTGCCAGCACTACGCCAGGTGCTGCTGTTGGGGCGGTGGGTGAGAGACACAGCCTTGGCCTTCTGGGAGCTTACGGCCTCGGGTGGGGGTGGGGAGAAGGAGGCAGTCAGTAAACCCCGCCTTCTAGGTCTTTTTTAATGGAAACTATCAGCCCTTTCTTAACTTTTCTTAACTCTCTTCATCTAATACACCACCAGCACCTATGAGCCTTAAGAGTTTGACCTTTTCACAAATAACTCATTTTTTAGTATAAATTCTTAGAAATGGAATTGTTAAGCTAAAGGATTTACCCCTAATTTCTACTACTATCCAAGAGGATGAGAGTGTCAATTTCTCTGAATGTCAGCATAGAAATATTTGCTTTCCTTTACTGGCATTCGAAAAACGCGAATTTGGTAGAAGACGAACAAATCGTCGTTATTTCGCTTTTATATTTGATTACTAGTAAGAGGCTGAACATTTATGGTGTTTATCAGCATTTATGTCTTACTGATAATAACAATTCTTTCATTTATTTTTTCTAGCAAACAATGATCTTTTATTAATCTGAAGTCAATTCAAGAATAAACACCATTAAGTGATCATATTTCTCACCAACTTCTACCCCTCCAAAAGTTTGCTATAGATATATAACTAAGTTTTCACTACACTGTCCCTGGCTTTGCAAATCTTCAAGTTTTTTATTTTGCTTAGTCTAGGAATTAGGAAATATAATGCAACTTGTTCAATTACTAATCTCTTCCCCCTTGTCCTCATGAATAAAAGGAAATAACAGGAAACTGAGGTTTAGAGCAATTACACATATGATACCATAAGCTGAGAATCCAGCTTTCAATACAGGTCATCAAACTTATCCATTCATATTTATCTCTGCAAAAACACTCAGGAGAATTAAGTGATAAGCAATTTTTGCTTTTCAAAAGACAAATTAGTGTTACCACAAAAACATCATTAACTTGTGCCACAAACAAAAACATACACTATTATTACATAAGCCAAACACACAGAAAAGATTGCCAGTAGCCACTAGTCATTAATTAACCACAGTTGGAGAACTACTCTAATGAGGGATTTTATTGATTAAGAATGCTTTAGTGAACATCAAGCTCCTCATCTATGGCTTATCTCTGTTTCTTGGTACCAGTGGTGTCCACGTATGCCAACAGAATCATCTGTAAGATTGTTATAATGTTGTCCCACATTCAGTCGATTAGGTTTAAATCAGGGTGGTGGTCAACTCTACATAGTGTACATATTGTAAAATTGAGATGTTGAACTGGACAGCATGAATGGTATTATTTATAGAGTTGTTCAGGCTTTCAAAGCATGCCTTAGAAACCCCGGACATTGTATATTTTTACAAAGAGTTCTAAGTTCTGATGCAACAAAACTATTTTTGGCTGGTAAAAGAATGGCTTTAAGTACTAACTACAATATAGCTTCATGGTAACCACCAACCTCTGCTCTATCTGTGTTTTGAAGATAAGAAATCATCAGAAACGTCATTAACATCTGGCTACTTTACTGGAGGAAGGGGAAGGTCTCCTGAAGGCAATACCAACAACAGATGACAAATACAGAAAAGCAGACAATGATTTCAGATCATTCCTTTTTCCAAAACACTTAAAAAAACAAACAAACCCCAAAAACATTCAAAATGAACACTTCTAAGTCATTAACTGATTTAAATTCCTGTATTAAAAATGGAACTTGACTTTGTAGTTGTTTTGAAGATTTAATTCTCATTTAAGTTTAGATTTGTAACTATATGATCTCTAAAAGCAGGCAATACATATCATCAGTACAAACAATCTGTAAAAGTCGTAGGTTGCAAGGGAATTGTCAAAGAGGGCGAGGTGACCCTTTTCCTCTAGAAGCTAATGAATCCCTCTAACAGTGTTTCCAGGTCCTGTGCAGAACCCTAACGTCATTGATTATTCCTCCTCTCACATATCTCCAGTTTCTCCAGGTCCCTCACAGAACAAAATCCTCTTCTCTTACAGCTAACGAAGAAAGAAGCAAACAAAGTCCCTTTCACGTACTTCCTTCTGGCCCGCAACACATCTGGCCCCGCCTCACAGCCATCATCTATGAATGCTTCTTGTCTCTCTTCACTTCTCATTCATTCATTCATTCATTCTTTTTACTGTCTTTAAAGCAGATCACTGCCAGTCCAGTCTTTTTTTGAGTGAACAGTTCACTGGTTTTTACTATATTCACAAAGTTGTATGAATATCACCCCTATAAATCTACAATATTTGCATCACCCCAGAAAGAAACAGCCTATCCATCAACAGTCACACCCCATTCCCTCTCCCTTGAGCCATGACAACTACTATCTACCTACTGTCTCTACAGTTTTTACCTATTTTAGACATTTCACATAAACGGAATCACACAAAATGTAGTCTTTTCTGTCTTCTTTTCACGTGGCATAATGTTCTCAAGGCTAATTCATACTGTAGCATATTTAGTACTTCATTACTTTTTATAGCTGAATAATAGCCCTATTTTATGGACATATCAGACATATCATATTTTGTTTATCCATTGATCATCTGATGGGCATTTGAGTTGTTTCTACTTTTTGGTAATTATGAATAATGCCACTATGAACAGTCATGTACAAGTGTCTGTGTAGACATGTTTTCAATTTGCCAGGGCACATACCTGGGGCTGGCATTGCTTGGTGATAGGGTCACTCTATGTTCAACTCATTAAGAAATTATCAAACTGTTTTCCCTAGCAGCTGCATGATTTTATAAGCTCACCAGCAATGAATGAGACTTCTAATTTCTCTGAAGCATCAGCAACAATTGGTGTTGCCTGTCTTTTCTATTATAGCTACGCTAGTGAGTGTGAGGGGGTATCTCACTGAGATTTTGACTTGCAGTTCCCTGGTGGCTAACAATGTTGAGCTTCTTTTCATGTGTGTATTGGCCATTTGTGTATCTTCTCATTCATTTGGTCATGTGTATACTTTCTCATTCATTCCTTGGTCTTGGGCCATCTCGCTTCCTCCACTGTCAGTTCTTATACAAGTCACCAAAGATTTGCCAAATTGCCCTGCTTTCCCTGTAAGACCTTTCTGCAGCATATGGCACTTTTAAACATTCTTGTAAAGGTCTAAGCCTTTCATTTCCATAATATTTCTGCACCCTTATTGTCTTCCAAAGTGGATAATTTGTTCAAATGAAGCAAACTAAGTTAGATAATAAAAGTGTTACATAAAATAATTTAAAAATGCTATAGCCTCTTCAGGATATCTATTCATTTTATGACTAATCACCATCTCATTAGCCTCCATACAAATTGGATGCATCCCAAATTTAAAATAAGTTTGCAAGGCTGGCATAAACACCAATGAACAAAAGTCTGACTTGGTTATCCCTGAAATTTCTTATGAATTATATACTCATGAAAAAAATGCCATAAAAATTTCACCTTAACCTTATGAACCAGTTAGGATTTCCTTACTCAGGGGACAGGCCCAAAATGTTCATTTTCTTTATAAAATACAAGTGTTATTATTTATAAGATAGAATAATCAGCATCCCAAGCTAGTTCAAAAGCTCCATAAAAGTTATTTCATGAACATTATAGGAAAAAAAAGGAAAATACACTTTTTTATGTGCAGTATGTTCTGAATCATTTTTAATATACAGGTTTGATGGGTTCCTTTGCTAGGTATCAGAATATTAGCAAATGGAATAAATCTGAGGATATGAATAATTCGGACAAGCCCTTCCAAATCATGAGGTCATATCTTATGCATCTTAATTTATACCTCAGAACAAATACTAGGACTTCCTCTTATGATGTACTTCCATCATTTTATTTAATCCTCACAAGTAAACTTCAACCATATATCAATATTATAAGGGCTCGATATTAATACAGAATAGTAGGCTTGTGAAAAAGTAAGAACTCCTTAAAATTTTCCACTTGTTTCCTCTCTCACCCAGAAGAACTGGAGAACAAGCTTAAGGGCAGGAGGTGCCCAGGTAGCCTAATACTTTTCTGCATGTTTTATTTCCTTGTGCCAGCTCTTTACTCCCTAACCTCCCAGTGGGCAAGCGGGTGCCAATATAGAGCTGCACACACACAAAAAACTAGAAACAGTTTCAATTCCCCTTAAAACATTTTCTAAGGCAAATTTACTATAGGTGATGACTTCACTGTAATTGGATTATTCTGTGTTAAATGCAGGTAAATGGAATTCTAGTTTTCAATAATCAAGATTACCTTTTCCAGTTCATCCCAAAAAGATGTATCTCTTGGGTGCTTACCTTAAAATTAATTTGCATCATTGGAAGAAGGTGAACCAGGGAACTGCCCATGTCTGTAGTGATGAAGGAATTAATTTCTGGTATATTGAGGCACTGTAATGTTTTATATTTTTCTCGGGACATGCCCACTTTTGAACCTAAAACTTCAGCAATGGCTATAGGCAAAGAAAAAGGTTAAAAATACAAAAATTACAGCTTATGAAAAAAAATTACAACTTAACCAAATTTTAAAATAAGAATTTATCAAATAAAAAGAAAATCAAACCATTCACACTTTTGCCATAACATCTCAGAAAGGCTGAATAATTTTGGTGGTTAACTGTGTAGAATAAGTTGTGAAAAAAACCAAGAATTTATTTTTAAAAACCTAGTCTTTAAAAACTGCAAAATATGTAAAGAAAAGGGTAGACAGGAAGAAACTAAATTTGGAGTAGTTAATACACTGGCTTCATCACTTTGTATCTTAAAGAAGAAATGGAAAGTACATTGCAAAATAGTTCAGTACTATTTAGATAAACTAGCTACATACCCAGAAATCATTTAGGAACAAAACTTAAAACTGTCCTCTAAGATAATTAATTGATAGTTATCATCAACGAATGCGGTAACACAAGGAAAAAAAAAAGAAAGAAAGAAGAAAGATGCAGTAACACAACTATGTACTAGAAATCTTTCAAAGTTTATTAAAATACTAACGGAGCATGGGCATTTGCTCTATAACCATTTGTAGATATAAAGGCTACCATAAACACACATGAAATGTTTCTATTACATTAAGCTTTTCAAAGTTTAAATGAATCAAACTATCAAATTTTCCTTCAACTTCAGAGTAATATTGAACCATTTCAGGAAACCATTTCAAGAAACAGAGACTGAAAGCGCTTTATGCAAAAAGAAGCTGATCTTTATAATATATTAATGTAAATTAGATACAGCTAACACCCACCTAGGAAGACTTTCTCTTTTCCAATAGAATAAGTGCCACAGACAACAAGAGTACGTGGGTTTAGAGTTACAGCCTCAAAGGCAGTGCTGATGGCAAACTGGATAACCTCCTGCTGAGACGGAAAGCAGTACTCGGGGCTGCAGTATCTGTAATGTGGAAATATGGTACTTATTAAAGGAGTAACAAGAAAACCATAGCACTAAATTGGATGCAATTTTAGAAAATAAGCTCTAACAAAATGACATACAACAGCAGTATAATATAAACACCACTGCAAGTTATATCTCACTCCCTGTGGATAAAATTCGGTACCAGCTATTGATAACTTACAATGGGATTCTGCATATTCAGTGCACTTTTTTCCATTATGTTTCTTTTATCATCCTCAAATAAAAAAATCGCCTTTTTTTCTTCAAAAATATTTTTAGCCAGCCAGCTATTTTAGCTCTGAATTATAAACCTCAATATCTCTTTAACCCCAATCACTATCAAAGATAATCTATTGTTAGGGATTATTTTTAGACTAGAGAATTCTGCTATAGTAAAAAAAAAAAAAAGATTAAAATATTAAAATAAAACATGAATTTAATGAAGTAGTTTTAGATCTAACAGTTAATATTCACATGGTTATCTTCTCTTCTTTGAAGATACAGAAATATATATAGCATTGTAGGAATTTAACAAATCCAGTTGGGTATACGTCAAAATGATAACATCCAATGAAAAACTAACTGTAAGACTACTACCTATATATAAATTTGAGATGAAAAGTGCTTTTTCACTAAAAGAGTCATGAAGTACAAACACCAAAGAAACATATTTCTCCAAATTTTCAAAACTGTTTTTTTGCTGATCAGCCATCAGAATAAAGTCTTAATCCTGTCTCCTGTAACAACCCACAAATACATTCAGAATTGCACGTAGAATAGTACTAAGTATCAAGAAAAGGTTTTTTTTTTTTAAAACTTATTATTTTCTTAATGTACCTAGTGTTTAAAGTATATATAAAGAAATGGGAAAATAGCTAGTGTTCAAAAACAGGATGTGCAAAGACCACCTTTTACTAAAACATGCCACCCAAACTCATTTCTCCTTGAAACAGGTTGAAATAGGTAACATAATTAATTTCTAACAAGTTGGTGAGGTATTTTAATAAATAATAAAAAGAGAATGGCTTACACCATTATGTTCATAGCACTTAGGAATTCAAAGCTGTCAGTTGGAAATTACCTTTTTAAGAATAAAACAAATTCTGACTACTATTTAGAAACAGAAGCATACTTTGGCCTCAGTTTTTTCTTTACAACTGTACATTGTAGTTAAAGATATTTTGAAAGGATAACATAAAAGGGTGTTTTCCTAAAGTTTTACCCCCAATGCTTTTTTCCTTGTTTCAGTAGTAGGACTCTCATATTAACTGTATTTTTGAAAGGAAATTATAAGAAAAATTGAGCTGCAGTCAGTTAAGACTTGTAATCCCAAATTTGTCCTTAAGCAAGTTTTTTTTTTTTCAAACAGCATACCTCTGATAAAAAAGCCTTAAAATGATAAATGACAAAAAGGCAGAGTTTTGATTACCTAAACAAATGCTCCAATTATTCATAATACACACAGCCAGTGCTGTCTGTGGAAAAAGAAAGCACACAAACAAAGCTTCTCTTACGTGGTATCTAAATACAGCGTGTGGACTTTCTGGCCAGCAAGAAGAGAACGTTCCATGGTGGGATGCGCCCGGAAGTCTCCAGTGTGTAATATGACGTTGCCATTAGGAAGGTAAAAAAGGATCATAACAGCACCTGGACAGCTGAACGCAAACATTTCAAAGAAATAGTCTTAACACAGGCAAAGCATCTGAAGGAAGAGTACCTACTTCAATAACAAGTTAATATACTTTATTAGCTGACCAGAATGACAAAGCATTATACTACAGAGAAAATGCAGCACTTTAGTTAAGGAAGTTGACAATATTAAAACAAAAACAGTAAGAACAACAACAACAAAAACCGAGTTTGCTGGACAGGACTGCTTCAGCAGGTGTGGTTTCTCAAACTCCACACATTCCCAAGAAAGGCCTGTCTTTAGGACTGGTCCTTGGGAGATGCGTTCTGAGCCCATGGAATATTCGGCTGGTAAGAGTGCATTATGTGTGCCTGAGACAGTCTAGGCTGATAATGTTATCTCGGGCGAAGTTCTGTTTCTGCGCGAGGAGTCTGAGTGGCTGAGGTCAGCCTCAGTCAGGTGGTGCTGCCTGCCTGCAAGACTGACCCTCCATAAAAACAAGGACAACAAGGCTCCAGTGAGCTTCCCTGGTTGGCCACACTGTGTGTGTGTCCTTACACATTGTTGCTGGGAGAATTAAGCACATCTGCGCCACTCTACCAGATGAGGACACCTGCAAACCTGTGCCTGGTTTTGCCTGGGTTCACCCCCATTTGCCTTTTCCCATTGCTGATTTTCGTTTGTACTTCTTCCCTGTGAGAAGCTGTGCAAGATCCACAGCTTTGCTGAGTCCTGTGAGTCCTAGTGAACCACGGAACCTAATGCGGGCCTTACAGGACCCCTGACGCATGGGGTTTGGGAATTACTGCCAAAACACAGGAGCTTTCATTTTGAATTCTAAGAAAACACAGGAAATAATTACATTTGTGATTAAACCCTTCCCTTTACCTCCTTGCTCCAAAACTTCAGACCCCAATAATTTTGCTGGGGAATTCTATCAAATACTTAAGAGAAAAAAATAATACCAAATACAACACAACAATCTTTCAGAAAATAGAGGAGTGAAACTTCATGAGGCCAGCATTACCCTGATATCAAAACCAGACAAAAGCATTATAAAAAAATAAAAATCAATATCCATCACGAAAACAGCCATAAAATTCCTTAACAAAATATCAGCATATCCACTCCAGCAATGTGTTTTTTTAAAAGGGTAATACATGAAGACCAAGTGGGTTTTATCCCAGCGATACAAGGCTGGCTTAACACTAAAAAAAATCCATCATTGTAATTTACCATGTTAACATTCAAAGGAGAAAAATCATACGATCACATCAATACCAAAGAAGCATTTCACAAAATTCAACACCCACTCCTGATTACAAACTCCTGGCAGCCTAGAATAGCTGAGAAATTCCTCAACCTGAAAAAAGGCATCTGTGAAAAACCTACTGCTACATCATGCTAAATGGAGAAAGAAAGTTTTTCCCCATAAGATCAGAAACAAGGCCGTATGTCTGCTCTCACCATTCCTCTTCAACTTTGTACTGAAGGTCTGAGCCAGTACAATAAACAAGAGGGGAAAAAAAGAGCACTCCAAATAGAAAAAAAGCAGAACAAAATTTCCTTTATTCACAGATGACATTATTGGACATATAGAAAATTTTTAAGAATCTACCAAAAACCTATTACAACTAATTAGCAAATTTAGCAAGATCTTGGGATACAAAGTCAATAAACAAAATCAAGTTGCCCATCAAGAGGAGAGGAGATAAATTGTAGTATATCTATACAATAGATCTTAATCAATAATAATAAAAAAGGAACACAGTACTAATACACAAAATTGCATGGACAAACCTCAAAAACATAAGTGACAGAAACCAGACATAAAAGAGAAGACACTGTATGATTTCATTTAGATAATTCCCTAGGAAAGACAAATATAATCCATAGTGATAGGAAACAGATCAAAGGTGTCCTGGGCCAGAGGTGGGGTTTGGGGACTCATGGAAAAAGAGCGCAGGGAAACCTTTTAGAGTGGGAAAATTTTTCTACATTTTTATTGTGGTGGAAACTATATGGGTATGTACTTTTGCCAAAATTCAGCTAACACTTAAAATAAGTCCATTTTATTTATGTAAATTACACATCAATAAAGCTGACTAAAAAAAAATCAGAATTGGAGCTGTCATAATTGGTGACTAAAAGAAATCAGCGGCAAAGTTAGCAGACAAAAACTTAAAGAAAATCTGAAGAAAGAGCACTAGCCTCAATTTTAGGAGACCTAGATTTAGTCTTAATTTTAATTCTCTAAGCATCTATGGTCTCAGATGTACATGAGGCTAACACTATGAAAAGCAGAAAGAAGTAAAGTTGATAGCTGCATTTTTGCAATGTAAATAGTGATAGTACTTTACATGTAAAAAAATGAAGGAAAACAATTTTCAAGAAATGTTTTCTAGTTCTTTAGTGTTAAAGGTCTGAAAAATTACTTAAAGGGAAAAGAAAACTCTCTCGTATCTGCATGGAGTACCAGCTGTTAATTTATCTAAGTGATATTAAAGGAAATGGCAAAAGGTTATCTTTTAAAGAACAGCAGCGACATGTTAACATATTTAAAAAAAAAAAAAATAAGGAGCCTCATTTGTCAAGCATAGTAATTTAACTGGATAAAAATGGGTTAAATAATATTTAGAAGATCTCTATATTATGCTTTGATTCTGTAATTGGGTACATTATTTTTTTTCAAAAGGACAAACATGTTTAAGTGAAGTTTTAAGAAATACCAAGCCTATTAGTTCCATTAGAAAAGTTCTAAAAGTTCCATTAAGAAAAGATGCTAACGTGTCTTCCTTTTGAATATTAAAAAAATAGGCTGTTATTTAGACAACTTTAATACTTACTGATTGGCATCAAGCAAAACAACTTTGATACCATTCACCATACATTCAGTGTCCATTGGTAATGGATGGATATATTGTTCTTCCACATGAAGTTTGCTCTTCAACAAATTGCCGGTTATCTGCAAAACCGAATGTGCTTATTGCTGATTCAGTGAAACACTAAAGTATTTATTTCATATCTAGTTCAGAGCCCAAGCATCTGAATAATCTCCCTGTTCTCCCACTTAGATCCAATGTAAGCCCTCCAGAATGCCAGGAAAAACTTCCTAAGGTGACTTGTGTCACTGTTTTGCTTAAATACTGTCACTGGCTCTAACTTGCAAAAAGTCCATCCTTGGCATGACATACAAAACACTTCATGATTTGGCCCCTACCTGTTTTTGCAGGTTTATCTCCTATTATTCCCTGTCTTGTGTTTAGCCATTCTGAAACACCTGAAGTGCCCGGAATGGGTCTATTTCTCATACATCTGTCTTTTTGTAACAAACTCCACTCTCTGCCTGATTCTGGAATCAAACAAACATGTTTCAAAATCTGGCTCTGCTATGACTAGCTCTGGGATTGGGACATGTCACTTAACCTCAGTTATTTCATTACTAAAAAGAGGATAATTCAAGAATGCTGTGAGAATTAAATCAAATTCTAGCCACAGCCTTTAGTAGTATGCATTGAAATGTTTACCTTTCAAGATAATCTCTTTCCTCATGAAACTTTGTCTAACTTTAGCCTGGGACAGAGTAAAGTACTCCTTTCTCCCTACTTCCAGGCACTCCATTCCCTTATCTGTTCAAATACTGATCCTATCCTGGTATCACTTGTGAATGTGTCTTCGAAGGCTGTAAGTTCCCTGAAGTTAGGTACTTGGCCTTGAACTATTTTTCAGGTACTCAATAAATGTTTACTAAGAGAAACATAGATTTTTTTTTTTTTTTTTTTAGTAAATTGTGAAGTAGTTTATTTATTGTTTCCATGTACTAAAAATATTGTTAAAAAACCTTTTATAACAATTGACAAGAACTCATTGAATTTTAGATTCTCAAGGTGGAATCTGTTTGCTCAGATCTTGTCTAGAAGAATGCTAGATCTTACCATTGTAATTATTCCTTTTTAACCACACTGCTTAGAAATTCACTGAACTCCACAAATTCATAATTTAGAATACTAAAATTTACCTCACTACAATAAACTGGAAATGTGAAGTTTTTAGACAATCCAGCATAATGATCAGAATGAAAATGGGTGAGAAAATAGGCTGTGCAACCTTCCACCAGTCCATACTGAAAGGCATCAACTGTAAAGCCAGTTCCTGCAATGCAAATAACAACACAACCACTTGAGCAACACCAAAAGGGAAAAAGATAGTTTGATGACAACATCTTCACATCTCACGTCTAACTTAACTTTGTAATTTAAATTAAAACTTACATCGGATTAAGTCAACAAAAGGGGATGTTAGAGATGAAAACGGGTCTTATTAGTTTCCACTAAATATCCCAATACAGGCTTTTTTAATGAATAATTAATGAAAAATCAAAATACCAAACTACATACCAATTATTTTTTTGTTTTATTTTGAATATTATTTCTTTCAATATTTTCCCGTTACTTACTGCGCACCTCAACTCCTTTATTTCTGCAAAATAGCCAAAGGAGAATGTCAATTTTCTCTCAACCACGAGTGCTCCCTGTGGGGGACGGTGATAGGCTTCTAAGGGGGCAGAGTGATTGCAGCCCAAATAACCTTACAGATTACAATGGTCTGTGGCCCTGCAAAGGACCACAGCACAGTAACAGACAGACAATATATCACTTAAATTTCATTGTGCAGGGAGGGAGGGAGGAAGGGAAACAAGGAAAAAAAAAAAAAGCCTGAAAAAGTCTCCCTAGAGGAGCAGTAATAATAATATTAATAATAATAAAAGATTGAGCTGTTCTAAAATGTGTTCATGAAGTACCCAATGATATGCAAGTGAAAAAGCAAATGATTCTATTGAGACTTATCAACACATGATATACTAGTTTTAGACTTATGTAAAATACATAAAACAATCAAAGTAATTTAAGGCAAAACTAGTTCTATGATGTACAAAAATCCTATACTCTATTTTGAACAAATTACAGCTCTAAATCATCAATAAAGCACTTAAATCTCCCGAAACCAAGTATATTTTGGCAGTGTTCATTTATAATTTATACTCTTTTCAGAAGTTATTGGTTCCTTCAATAACAAAATTCATTTTACCACCTATTTTCCTCCTAACTCACCTATGAAGACATGAAAAATTACAAGGATATGAAATGGCACAGAAATTTCGACTTACCAGGTATTTTCTTATAGAATGGACATGTCCTTTTTAATTCTTCTGCATGAGGTATCTGTGGGATTTTCGTGTTGCCTCTCCGCAGCCTGCCACGAGCTGACTTTATGAAAACTTGGTCTTGATTTAAATGCCCTGTTCCAGCTTTTATCTTAACAATGTCACCTGACCGCTTCTGCTGTGTTCCTTCCTGTAGTGAGTCTGACTTTCTCAGCTTTTTTCTTTGATGCTGTGCCCTCTTTCTAGAAAATTCCACAGATTGCCAATTCTCACTTAAATTCTTTGCATCCAATTCTGAATCACTTAAAGATTTTTCTGCTTTCCTCTTACACTGCCCAGCCCTTTTTTTGTTAGGACTAACAACTGGTTTTAAGTTCATCCCTTCTATTGCACTTTCCTCCCTCAATTGCTCTTCTTTTCTTTTAGGTGGTAAACCAAAATACACACCTATATCCATTTGCTTCATTACCTTGGTAGGAGGGTGTGTTGCATTACACTGAGGACTAGACGGCAACATTTTCAAAGACTTGGCAGCGGTAGGTGTCCTAGAAAATGTCTTTGTATTTAAACCATCAACTTGCCTGTCTAGCGTACCACTTAATGCCTTTCTGCAGAAACATGCTGAGTTAGTGTTATTCTTAGCACTGAAATTCTTTCTTGATAATTCTCTAATTTGACCTTGGGTTGGATGGAAAGAAAGACACCTTCCTCCTTGGCTTTCAAAACCTTCTGACATTTCACTCTTAAGTAGTGGGGGAGAAATTTTATTGTAAACAGCTGATCCTTTAATTATCTGTTTCTTTTTATTTGATGGAGATGAGTGAAGTTCTGGCTCATCAGGTTTTGCTTTAGTAGCCTGATAACTGGAAGGAGCAAGCCCCTCTGCTAATGCAGAAGGATATGAGAAACCATCATCAGTACAAGCTGGATCACGACACAAAGTAATACTTTCCTTTTGGAAATGTTGAGATGAATTGTTCAGAGTGTTGTACTTATACAATTCTTCATTGTATTTATCTTGAGTTAAGATGCTATTCACTTTGGAGCCGCTCTCCTGATCCCTCAGTAAGGGACAATGGAAGTTTCTCAACAAACTACTGCTGTTGTCGTCTTCTTCTAGACTGCCATCTTTAGTGCTTTCTGTAAAAAATAGTTCCTGTTGTGAATCATCCAGCTTTTCATCCATATCATAAGTTTCTTCATCACTCTGAAGTGGAGAATAGGAGATTTCACAGCTGCTAAAGTCATTTTCTGGCAACGGCACATCTATGTGTTCTGAGGTGTTCTGGCTGTATAATTCTTCAGCAAGAGGTAAACCAACTCCTACCAGTCCGTCATTATTAAAACATTGTGTAAATTGTGGAGCTTGTTGGGACGTTTGGGTATTTGTCAAAGAGGAAGTCTTTTTCTTGGTTTCAGTTGGAGACTGAGATTTTCTTAGACACTGTGTCACCAGCCAGGGATCAACTGAAACGTTTTTAAAGTTCTCAGTTTGTTTTTGACATGGAGACCATCTTTCCTCCAGGCTACAAAGAAAGCCTGAATTAGTCTCAGTGAAACTGCCACCTGATCCCTGTGATGGACTCGTAAAAGGACTGTTACCAGCCCTACGTTGAGCTAGCAGGAGGTGAGTGTATCTCTTGTAGTGAGAGGGAATTGTTGAGCTACACAGAAGACCATCAGGACACTCTGAAAATTGTATTAAAGAAAATAAGTATTAGAGCATCAAAGTCCAGACTAAGTTTTGGCAGTGTCAGCATTATAATTACGTATTATAATGAACATGTAAGCGTAAAGGCATCCGTCCTACTCTGAGACCTTAGAACAACAGCTATCTTTACCTGAATCAAAAAATCAGGATAAAATAACGGTAATCCAGTGTCTTTTTTGCAAGGTCTAGTTATTATTTTCAAACCAAACAAATATGAGCTGCTTCAAAATCCATGTCGTGCTTACATTATGTACTTCTTAAACAGATGCTAAAAATTGACACCATCAATTTCACTAATTCACTATTGCTCAGGCAACAAAGAATCAAGAGTGATGTACCTCTCACAGAACCTAAGTTCTTCCCCAGTTTTTCTTATGGAGCAAACACAGATTTATGACAACTGTAGAAGCAAATTATATTCCATTAGTTAATATTCACACTGTACACAATAATAATAATAACAATCTTAATTAGTTACAGCTGTTCATACCCTGGACCATTTAGATTCTGTTCTAAAATTTGAAATTCAATTTGATAAACTGATTAATAAGATCTTAATCTGGAAACCATTCCCCATCCTATCATTATGATTAACATTCTGTAAACCATCTTCACGTATCCCCTTCTATTTTTATTTTCTGGTTTATAAAAATAATGATGCCTTCTTCCCCCCGCCCTCCCCCTGTAAATGTTACATTATATTAAAAGACTTCATTGCTTAAAACTTAAAATTGCCTCACGAAAGTATTTGTTATAAAGTTCAAATCTGAGACTATTCAGAAGAGTATAGACAGTAAAAAAAAAAAAAAAAAAAAAAAAAAAGAAAGAAAGAAAAAGGAAGAAAAAGAATCTCTTTGAGGTGGTTTCATCAATAAGACATTTTACCCTGAGGTGCGCACTGTGGGACTCCAACTTCCATTTCTGGTTTTCAAGCCACTTAAAAGCAAATTAGTAACATTTGATGAGGCTTTTCCTTGCTATACTTTTATGAGAAAGGCCAATGCCGAATTTTAGGAGTTCTTTAGGAGTTCCCGAAGTTAGTAACAAAATGTCTTCTGAATCATATTTAACATGAAAGCCGTTCTGAGTATTAGCTTTACTGAGTTTTAATTCTTTGAGATTTAAGTTTATGTACTGTATATATAACTGCAAAATTTACAAATCATCACAACCCAGTCTCCATATATTCCAAGTTGAATTTTCTGTATTTTAAACATGACATTTACTATATATTTTCAAAGATAAAAACATAGCATTACTTTAGTTACCAATTGGCACATTTTTATTATTACAGTCTTAATGGACAAGTTGTTTATAAACCCTCGGCTAGAAACTGTCAATACCACTTACTTTGTGCAGTTGTTGTGAGTCAAGAAAGTAAACAAAGTGAAAGCATCTAGCATAATGTGTTTAATGAGCATTTATGAAGAATGACTGAAATGTTTAGGGACTTTTATGAAATAAAATGCATTTAGACTGTTTTCAAAATTCTTGACAATTATACCATTGGCTGTTTTCTTTTTTTCTCCCAGCTCAAGAAGGGTGAACACATATTACCTTGTTCGCCTCCAGGGTGAAGTCATTTGTGCTCATAGTGTCTCATCTCTTTCTCTGTTTGTTTCCCTTGCTTGTTTCACTGGACTGATGTGCCTGGCCTACTGCAGGCCGATTTAAAGACCACTGTGTTTTTTGTAATCTTACCTGTTTCGGAGACCAGTGGAGAATCCAAACACTCAAACACATGCCATCGAGGTGTCTGACCTAGTAATGAGGAAAAAGGCAGCTGGCAGTTTGGGCAGTATCCATCGTAAACTGGACGTATCTTTGGAGACACGTGTTTGTCTTTGCTAGTCCTACTGCACTTTCCTGGAGTGGTCTCCTTGCCTTGGGACTGCTGGATACCATCTTCACAACTAGAATTCTGACTAGAAACGACAGGAATCTGACTATTTGTTTCTTGAAGGCACATTTCAGGAACCTCCACCTTCTCTTTAGCTTCCACAGTTCTTTTTTTTCTCTTTCGTTTTGACTGGTACTTTCCATCTGTTGCTTTTTTGTCAGATTTTGGAACATTCTCAGGGCAATTATTTGCATGGACTGATTTTGGTTTTCTTTTGGATTTGTATTCCCAGATATCTTCTTCCGAAAAAGTGCCTTCTAACATGGCAAAATGACTTTTATCATTAAAGGAGCACTAATCTCAAGTAAATTGAGAATCTATTTCTTGTTACAACATTTTTAAATGGAATTATTTTGCTGTAAACAAAAAGTAACAAAATACCCAAACTTGATGGGAGTCTAAAGGTGTGGCAATGACTATATTGGCAAACTATAAACCTTATACCTGAGAACACCTACTACAATAAATAAAGAGAATCTACCACAGGGGTAGCATATGAGAAGTTTTCTATTTTTGTGGCTATTTCATCCAGTTACCGTGCCTTTTCCAAGACTTGATTCATAAAAATAAGAATCAGTAATAGTTTGAAAAGTAAGCCCTAATCAGAGTCTTAGAACAAGCTTTGTAAAATTGTTATAAAGCTATCAGTTCTCTTTCAACTGGACAACTGTCCAGATAATTCACAAATCCACCCACAGTCCCTGGGCAATTGGCTCAGCAGGTATTTCAAACACCAAATGGCTGCCTCAAGTTTGCTAATTAACCCTAGTCACTCCATAGTCAAACAAGTGTGTGATTCCCAATAGACAAAACCGCCCTTGTCCATGACTCGTGGATATTCAACAACTTCAGTTTCCTGGGTCAGTTCACCATCTTCCTCCAGCAGCAATGAACAAACACTGCACAATAAACAAAATTCAAATACATTAAGTCGTGCCTGCACGGAGACCACACTTCTACCTCCAGACAACAGAGGTGGTCCATCCTGGAGGTGGCCAGCCCTGTCTCCACCAGCGTCAAAGCCAAGGTTCACCAGCCCGTTGCCTCCCACGGGCTCTGCCTTCTCTTTACACGCTGGAGGCTGCGCGGCCAGAGGAGGGGGCCTTACCCCCTCCAGGGCAGGAAGCGAACGAGCTGCTAGCACATTCCACTCCATAAAAGCAATCACAGCCTTCCCCTTCTGAAGACGGAAGCCGGGCCCCAGTGGATCTTGGCCGCAGCCCACCTGCCACCACCAACACCCCGAGAGCAGGTCGAGCTGCGCCTGCTCCCTCCGCGCCCCCTCCCCCTACTCTGCTGACACTCTATTCGTGCCCGCACTTTCAGCACTGCGGGGCGACAAGTTACTTAAGTTGTGTGTAAGCCAAAGCCATTGGTCAGTTAATCCCAACTTTTAGAAGCCTCTCTCTTGAGGAAGTCCCTACTCCCTTACCTTTTGTGTCTTGGCGGGAACCGCTTCCTCCGACCAGTGCTGTGTCGAATCGGCTGGTTCCGATCTAAGAGCCAGAGTTTGAAAAGAATGGAAAAAAAAAAATCTCTATTAAGTTCTGCGGATTCATTTTATCTTATTTTTTGCCCGAAAAGGGAAAGGTGGGGGGGATGGTTTTCTTACGGCTTCTAGAACGCTAAACAGCGGACTTTTCCTGTTGAATCTGGCGTTCTGAAAGTCCAGGCTGCGCTGTTGCCGGAGAACTTGGAAGGGGCGGGGTGGTTTGGGGCGGGAGTTTAATTACGTGTCCTGGAATTGGCGGCGATTTGCAGTAACTTTAGTATTTGAATGCATGCTTACAAAGGGGAAAAAGTGTCTTTAGAGGGGTTAGTGGAGAGTGAGGTGAATGTGCCGTTTTGAATCCAAAGGCCAGAAAGCGCTCCCTCCGTCATCCCCAACAAGCGTAGTCCGCGGGCCGGGCGGCCGCCTCTGGACAACCCGGAGATAACATGGCGGCCCCCGGAGCCCGGAGCTGCAGCCTGTCGGGCCTGCTCCCGGCTCAGACTTCGCTGGAGTACGCCCTGCTCGACGCCGTCACCCAGGAGGAAAAGGACAGCCTGGTCTACCAGTATCTGCAGAAGGTGGACGGCTGGGAGCAGGACTTGTCAGTGCCCGAGTTTCCGGAAGGTGAGGGGCTGGCTTCGGGGTGGGGACCCCCTCCGGAACCTCCCCTTCCTCGGGGACGGCGCCCTCCCCTGAAGCGGTGGGCGAGGCGGGGTGGTGCCGGGCGCTTTGCCCGGCGGGAGCCGCTGCTCTCGATCTCTGCTATTCCCAGGTGTCCCGAAGCGGCAGCAGACGGTGGTTGAGGGGGGGCGGTGGCCTGCCTGTTCGTCCCTGAGCCCCGAACCCCGAGCCCCATCGGGACCTTAGGTTGTTAACTAACGAGACGGTCCAGGGATGTTCAGTGGCCCCGGGAGGCAATGATTAGTCCAGGCCACCCTGTCCTTTCAATCTGGTGGGTCATCATCTCCATCGTCTTCATCTTTGTGCATTGTACTAGCTAGCAAGTATGAATCACTTCTGTGGTACACAGTTCTAAACACTTAAGGGGTATTATCTTACTGCTCCCTGCAATCCGTGGGTGCGCTCTTCTTATTAGTCCTCTTTTACCTTTGAGAAACTGAGGCACAGGAAGGCTAAGTTAATTTGCCGAGGGCCTCACAACTAATATCTGTGAGGGTTGGATTATAAAGGCCCAAGATTGGCCGGGCCACACTTCTCTGTTCCAAGTCATGAAACTTGTGATTTTATAAATCGGAATCAAATGGGGCTCATCTCCACGATTTGAATCCCAGCGCCTTGAGTGTTTGGAACACGAGGGGGCCGATATTCCCAGCACTGCTATTTGTGAAGCACGTCTTGCTATGATAAGTGAAACCCTGCTTTACCTTCTTTGCTTGGGACTGTCATTGTTTTGCCTGGTGGTGTTGGCATGTCTCCTGGCATGACACTGAAACCACATGTATAGTTAATTGGTTGGATGTGGCAGGGTTCGGTATCTCACGGGAGGTAGGTTTATCGGAACCTTACCTCTGACAACAGTCTTGTGTGTCTTTCCAAGCCTTTTGCCTCCCACCTTGAAAAGTGCTTATTTTTTCTGATATTATAAGAAGCCTATACTGGGTTTGAAATACTGTGGAATTCTAAAAGAATTGGGAGCATGAGTGCTTATCCCATCAGAGAAACTTTAAAAGAGATAGATATATAGGTGTATATATATACTTTTATATATATATATGCATATTTTTTAAAAACTTTGTGCGAAGTTAGTCATGCAGTACACTTATAAAAGAGCAGGCCATCAGCAGGGATTTAGGGCAGTGTTTTTATTTTCTAGTCTTGTTTGTACTTACAATGAGTGTATTTTATTATCATGAGATTTGACCTCTGTGACTGGCAAATAATGTAAGAAAATATTCAAGCTTCATATTTGATATAATCAAATTTTCTACTGGACCTACGGTAATTACTGAGAACAGAATACTAGAGATGAGGTTTTTTTTTTTTCTTGGTTTATCAGTAAACTGTAATCAAGAAGTCATAAACAGAACCCGGTCTCAAAAACAGTATGTTTTTTTCATGTCTTAAAAGAAACACATGTTTATGGGAAACTGTGGTATTATGGATGGTCAGGCAGACCTAGCATAAAATCCCAGTTTTTCCATTTGTTAGCTGCATGATTCTGAACAAGTTACTTGACTTCTCCAAGCCTACGTTCTCACTTACAAAATAGAATGAGTATTTACCTCTCATGTTTAGTATGTGGACTAAAGGTGGTAAGGATATGTAAAGTTCTTAGTTCATAGCAGAGCTCGGTAAATGTTAGTATCTCTTAAAATTATATTTATTGTAATTATTGTTTTTATGAAATTTATTAGTAAGCCTGAGAAGCACCTAGTACAATAGCTGACATGTAATAATACTTTCCCTACCCCAATCTAAGCCACTCTTAACTGTTTACAGAAAATAAATTTAAAAGATAGATTCATAAATATTTTGCAACTAGGATGTAAAATATAAATTAGTTTGTAGTTTTGTATGATCGCTTGATCTGGTATACAGTTAACACCATATTAAAACGGATAATTAAGAGTTCACTATACCTTAAAACCTCTCTAGGCTGGATGATTTGGCAAAAAATAGTAATTTGATTTGCGGTTTGGTTTTTCTTTTTTTAGAATTTTGTTATAATTGAGTAACCCAGTCACTGTTATTAGTCATGAGTTGTTATTATGCACTTGCCCTCCCTAACTCTGGCTTTCAGTTTCTATAAAATATTTCCAGATACCTGCTTTAAGGTATAATTAAATATTGTATGTCAACCATACTTTCAAAAAGGTAGAATTAATAGTTTTAGTAGCTGCATTTATTTATTTATAAGCAACCAACTCATTATCTGTGTTTTTGTAAGTTGGTTACATGAAGATGTTGTACTTTTAATAATAGTTTAACAAAATCTATCTTCATAGTACATAGTTAAAATTGTAAATAATGGTCAAGTAATGATAAATTCTGCTTTGCAAAAGTACAGATTAATGAGATTTTGTTTTTCTTTGGGGTGAAGGGAACATACTCTTCAACAGTATTAATGTTGCTGCCATGAAATCTATGATAACAGTGTATTTTGTTTAACTTTGTATTTAAAATATTTTGTATTTAAGGTTTCACTCAAATCTAGAGCATTTCTGCTCTTATGAAATTGGTTTAGGCATTTTGTATGTTATCCTTTTATTTGAAACTTTGCTCCTTTTTGATGTTTAGTCGTGTCTTGCTATTCTTAAGGTTGACTTTCATTCTCATTAGCCCATTTGTTACCTAATTGTGTACTTAGGCCCTCTTAATATTGGTATTTCCTCTTGTTTTTACCTAAATGTTTTGATCTTGTTTTCTTTCACACACAGACTATTATACTGTTTCTGAAAGAATTTGGTAGCTTTTCCTTGCTGTATTTGTAGACTGCCTCATTACAGCCTCATTCCCATCTTGTTCCCCTATCCTCTCCCCTCCTCCATCATGGTTCATATTTTAGTGGAAAGTTTTAGATAAATTGCCTTTTTTTTTTTAATTGTGATAATTTATTTTGTGTAAATTTCAGGATTAGAATGGCTGAACACAGAAGGGCCGATTTCTGTCTACAAGGATCTATGCGGAAAAGTGGTTGTCCTTGATTTCTTCACCTATTGCTGCATAAACTGTATTCACCTGTTGCCTGATCTCCATGCCTTAGAACACACCTACTCTGATAAAGGTAACTGCCTCTTAATTGGCTTCTAACAGACTTGTGGCATAGGTTTTGGAAGAGCAGCTGACTCATTTGCTCATAGGAGAATGAACATTTGGCAAAACTTCGGTGATTTTTAACCTATGAATTAAGGAGCCATGTACCTTTTCATGAAGAGTTAAGCTTAGTGATACTGGAACCAGCATTTAGTATATTTAGTATATTTTTCTCTAATGATAGGACATAAGACACTTTTTTTTTATGATCAAGTATTTTTAAAAGGTCGTTTTATATACCTAGACTTACCCGAGTTTGTTTTGTGAGAAAATTTAAATGCGTGACTCTGACTTTATACTCTTCTCGAGAACTGTGATATAAAGGTTTAAAGTTCTTTTTATCCCCTCACATACCAGTGAACAAAGGCACACTTTTTTCTTTTTTCCCCCATTCCTTAAATTCTCATCTCAGGACATGTTTATTGATTTGAGAAGGGGGGTAGGGAGGGAGGAACAACAAAAGGGAGTGAAACATCGGCGTGAGAGAGAAACATCGATTGGTTGCCTTTCTTACGCACCCTGACTAGGACCGAACCTACAACCCTGGCTTGTGCCGCTACTGGGAATTGAACCTATAGCCTCCTGGTTTGCTAGATGACACCCAGCCAGCTAAGCCACACTGACCAGGGCAGGGTTAAAGTTCTTAATAGGAAATGTGACTATTCTTTAATTCCAAATGACATGAATAACAGTGGAATGCAGAATATCATAATGGATACTTTTTCTTTGACCTGCTTTATGTCTTCCGAAGCACACTAGGAAATCCTTTTATGGTATTGAAAATTCTGAAGATGTAAGACATTATACTTAGTATTTGCTTAGAGGTTTGAAATTTTTTCATATTTTTTTCTTGTTTACCTCACCCTAAAAGAGAACATGGCAGGGGGTAAGTGAAACTGAAGCTTTTGTTTAATTAGGTTGATATTAATTGAAGCTCTACTCTTAGACGTAAAGGAGGGTCACTGATCTTGTGAGTAAAGATGAGAATAGAGTATACATGTACAAGATGAAGGATATTTTGAAACTTAAAAAATAAAAGAGGAGTGATAGATAAAATCTTCAGTGTTAATGAAACTTTAGTTGCTTTTCGATTATAATAGGTGGTAACTTGAAATAGCTGAACAATGATATTTATCAAGAACTCGGATATTCCCAGTAACTAAATCATGTTTTGAAAAATTTATCTATATCGATTTAAGAAATAATGAGTATCTCATCTCTTAGGTTTTGAATGCCTGTGTGTCTTGTTCAAGTCTGTGTAAATAAATACGTTTCTTGAACATGTATTGTGTGTAAGGTACTCTGCTAACTGCTGGGGAAATAGGTGTGAAAGCTGAATGAAAAGCATTATGGAACCTGAGGGAAGGAGTAACTCACTTTGCCTAGGAGCATTGGAAAAGATTTTTCAGAAAAAGAAACAAGTAAGATGGAGCTGGGAAAGTGAGCGGCAGTGCAGCTGAAAATGAAAATGAGACAGGAGGGACCCTCCTGGTGGAGGGAGCGACAGGTAGACTAACAGGAAGGCACAGGAGAGTAGGTTTCTTGGGGGCTCCTGGAAGTGGAAGTGGAAGGTAGGTTATGTTTGGACCATGTTGTGAAGGGCTTTGTAAACATTCTTAATAGTTGGACTTTTCCTTTCATCGAAGACACAGAGATATTAAAGATTTTCTGTTTGTTTTTTGTTTAATAGAAGGATCTCATGATAAAATTTGAGTTTTAGAGAGGCCCTGCAGGCTGCGTTGAGAGTCCCAGGGCTATCTATTTCCACACTGAAGACACCCCTTGAAGACTGTATATGGCTAGCTTTCTTGGTTAACCCCATACCTGGAACACATTTCAGTGGCTTTCTTTGTAATGTCTTTACCACTTTACCGGAAACATCATTTTTATAGCACATTGTCACCAAAAAACAAAACAAAAAGCTGTTTTTACATACACTTCCGAAAAGTAAAATTGTAAATGGTCTCAACATTACAATCTCAAAGAAACATTATTTCAATAATATGGTAGTATTTGCTGGTAGAAAATGCTGATAGCTTAAAAATGAAAGATTTTTATATTGCTCAGAGGTAAGTTCAATTCATAGTCACAAAAGCAGGCGTACCCAGAGGTGATTACAGCAAGGGTCAGTGAAGTGTCACTGACTTCGCTTGCTTTCTTGCAACAGGATGTGTCACTACTATCTGCTATGTTTCTGAACGTATTTCCAACAATTTTAACAGTTCTTGAAAGTGACATGGAGCAACTTATTTTAAATTCATGGACTATTCGGTTCACTTTATCAGTAAGCCAGAATTGCTCAGCTTTGAGAGGAAGTCCTCATTAATTCTAAACACCTTGAAAGAGGTCCAATTTAATACCCAGTGTCCTTCGTCCAATCTAATAACCAGTTTCCTTCCTCTGTAAAATAGCTTTTAAAGTCAGGTTTGTTATGGTGACTAGTATCACTTTTAGTAGCATAGGGAAAATTATAATGCCAAAGAGTCTAAAGCAAAAAGTAAAAAGGTACTGTACTTAATAGTAATCAATGGTTCTGATTTTCAAACATTGAGGTTGTAGCTATTGCCCTGGCCAGTGTGGTTTAGTGGGTTGGGCGTCGGCCTACAAAGTGAAAGGTCACCAGTTAGACTCCTGGTCAGGGCACATGTGAGAGGCAACCAATTGATGCTTCTGTCACATAGACTTTTCTCTCCCTCTCTTCCTCTCTCTAAAATAAATAACTATTTTTTTAAAATGTAACTGTCTCTGAAGTTGTTATTAAGTGTTAACAGTTCAGTGCCCATTTATATTACACTGACAAGTACCTTGGTGGGTTTTTTTTTTCTTTCCTTTTCTACTTGAGAGTTTCTAAATTTTTCTTTTATCTTTTCATGCTGGATACATTAATGGTATGTTATTACATAATACTCAATTTTAGCACAATGGCTATTATGTAAGGAAAGGCATTCTTGTTTTGTAAGAAAACAACTATTAGGAAAATTTGGTATGTTTTAAAATGTGACTGCTAGGTGTATGTTAATATATAATTAAATTAGAATTTTAAAAACCTAAATGCCATACTACTACTGAATAAAGGCTGGTATTCTTATTATGAGCATATACTGTTTTTCTGTTTTATACTTTATTAAAAATTAGAAAAATGCATTTTTAATTTTATAGTGAAACTAAACCTTTTATGCATTCAGTATATAATTTCATTTTTGTGTCAGGATTCCTAAAACCACCACCAGGTTCAATAATTCTTTAGGAGGACTCACGGGATTTAGCAGATAGTTGTGCTCATGACTATAATTTATTATAGTGAAAGGATAAAGCAGAATTGACAAAGGGAAAAGACACATGGGCCAAGTCCTTCCTACCATTGTTCTGTGTGATTAAAAGAACAAGCAAAATATTTTAAGAAAAATTCCTGTATTCTTTAAGGTTCTTAACACTGAAAAAAATGGGAGGTGTCATTATTTGGCAATTGTCCTTGTATGAAGATAAATAAAGATATTCTATTTAGACAATACGATATAGTTCATATTGTTGACATAAGAACATCCAAACCTGTAGAGAATTTTTATGAGTTTATTTGAGCCAAACTGATGACATGCATGAAACAAGATCTCAGATGTTCCAGAAAATGACAGCTTTACAGTTTCTTTCATACATTTGGAATTAAGGAGGGAAAGTAAGGAGTATTAACACGAAGGTGGGAGGAAGCAAGGTGGGGATTGCTTCTGTGATGGGGTGTCCAACCTTTTGGTGTCTCTGTACCACACTGAAAGAAGAAAAGTTGTCTTGGGCCACACCTTAAATACATCGCGACACGTAAGCACAAAAAAGTCTTCGGAACGGTTTAAGTAAATTTACGATTTTGTGTTGGGCCTCATTCACAGCCTTTCTGGGCTGCATGCAGCCTGTGGGCTGCAGATTGGACGCATCTGCGAGAAGATCATGTGCTCTTTTGAGGGAAGTTATATCTCCCTTCCCATCAATTCTTTCTATTATTTTTTAGTTCGCATTTTTTTTTTTTACACGAAAGGTGACTTACTGTAGACATATTTGTACACTTTGCTTTTTTCATGTAACTGCTTGAAAAAAGCAAAGCGTATAAAAATCCTGGCAGTGACTTCATGTAGAGAACTTCCTGATTATTTTTAATATCTGCATAACACTTCATTGTGAGTATGTGTGTATGTGTGTGTAATGTAATTTATTCATCCCTCTCCTATCCTATGTATGTATTGGCTCTTAGGTTGTTTCCAATATTCAGTACTTGCAAACAATGGATAATCTTGTGGATATATTTTTGTATTGCTGGTGGTATATCTTAAGGGTAGTTCCTGGAAGTGGGATTGCTGGGTCAAAGTTAAATGTGTTTAAAGTTGTGTTTGGTATTACCAAATTCCACAAGGAGAGTGGACCCAGTTTGCCTTCCTACTAGCAGTGTGTGCATACTTTTTAATTTTTACTGATCGAAAGTGAGAGATGAATGGTACCTTGGTGTAGTTTTCAACTGCATTTTAGAGAGGGTCCAATATCTTTTCATATATTTATAGCTATTTATTTTAAATGGGGTTTTGTCAACCATTATATTCTCCAATTGGTTATTATATAGGTATTTAAATGCTATTGATTTTCATGTATTAATTGTATACCCTGCTGCTTCCTGAATGTTTTATTATTTGGTTTAGTTTTATAATTGATTCTCTGGGGTTTCCCTATCATACTATATTATCTGCAAAGAAATTTTCCAGTTCTTATGCCTGTAATTGATTTCTCATTTTTCTCCACTAAGCAAGAGGCTGGTTTTAGGACTTAGTTATATTTATTTAATCAATTAACAAAGTATTAAAGGATAACATTTAAGAAAATTACATTTCAATAAACCTGATGCTAAGAACAAGAATTTATCTGTGGTGATTCCAGGTTTGGAGGGAAACAGTGGCCAACGTGGTTTTGATTCTTTTTGCTTTCTGCTCCTCT